ACATGAGTGGATTCACAAATAGTATTCTATATCCATCCATCTTTCAGCCACGTATCCTGATCTGGGTTGGGAGGAACAGAGATAATCCCATGCAGAACAGGCCACAAGGCTAAAAAGTACAGTAGCACAGAAAAATACAATTACCCAAAGTGAGGTATATTTTTTGAGAAAGCAGGGTGAGACAGTCTCTGGTGCAACTGCTGGTTAAGAATTTTAGTCAAAGGCCCAACAGTGAAGCCACTCTGGAAAGTGTTTAACTAAAAATATTATCACACCTATGCAGCATTTCCAATCGGGTAATGGGGCCTAGTCTGTGTGATCATGCACTGAGCCCGTAGTAGTCATTGACACAGAGTAGTGAGCATTGCTTGCTGCTCAGTCTTTGTCATTGCTCTTTGAGTATTAGGCTCAGAGCTTTAGGTAAGGTATATTAGTAAGGAAAGATATTAAATAAGGTACATGAATTGCTATATAATTTACACCACATGTATTGCGTTCACTCTATGCCTAAATGTACATCTGTAATATTTTTATATCCATACTAACACTCCTTTTACTCCTCACCTCCCTTGGTAGTTCTGCCCCAAATTTGACCCAATGTCCCGATTGACCTTCGGAAACTTTCTCAGCCCAGGCAGCTGTATATAAAATCACCCAAAAATAGACTAAACACCAACATTTTTTCTTTTACTTAGTACATTAGGCAGGTATTCCTTCCTGCCTTGATTTTTATTGAGTCTATACACATTTTAGGACATATTTTTGGATATGGGCACTTTAGATGCTTCTCATTCTGTTTGTTCTGTTATGTTAATAGAAACTGTTCTATTTTAGCTGTCCAATTATGTACAGTATAAAAGCAATGACAGGACAAACAGTCCTGCAACACTTAACATTATCTTCCTTATCACATTCCATGATCATTCACGCTATAATGTCAAAAAGGAAATTATATAAATGGACAGTTCCTGTAAGCTCATTTCCTGCATCTGAGTATTTCCTTCTCAGAAACATTGCATATTAACCCCTTCAACCTCCAGCAGACACTTGATGAGTTTTCCTCCCCATTGACACTTACATAAATGTAATTTTTTTCTCTCAAATAAATAGCAAAATTGTGAAGGGTGCCATGAGCATCGTAGCTATTACGTTATTTGAGCACCACAAGACCGAGGACCACAAGATAAATTCTGTATTCTCCTTCAGTAAGTTTTTGCATTATCACTGCATCGCACGCTAGCAAGCAATGTGCAGCAGGGCTGTGCAGAGACTTGTTGAAGGGCAGGTACTCAAAGGTTAAAAAGGGCCACTCAGTAGATCTAAAGCTCATGCACAAGTTCACATTAAACAGTCCGGGCAGAAGGGGCGGGTGCTCAGTCTCCCCCCAGCACACCTCTCATTTCTGCACGTGCCAGACGTGTGCCAAAGTGATGGAGTCCATCCCACCTTGACACCAGTTACTAAGATTGTAAATAGCATATGCTGCTTCACACTGAAATCCAATGACTTAGCAAAAGGAAGATTCTTCAGCATTTTCTGTCACTTTTGGAGGAGATCAATCCTTTCATGGAGTCCAAAGGAAGGAACACATCTCTGCTGCAGTTACGCTTAGTGGCTACTACACCACACCACCTAACTGATATTACTGGGAACCCGAATACTTTGAACTTTGAGTTGCATGATCAGTACCGTGAAAGGATTCAAAGCCAAAACTCACCTTTTCTACATGCATTTACAAAAAAAACCCAAAAAACTTTGAGAGCCATTTGTGTCATTCATTCCGAATTGATTGAAACATTTTGTTGCAGCTCAGTGTGTAAGTTCGACAGGACTGGAACTTCTTACTCTGTACATACATACATCTCCAGGTCCATTAAGGCACCTCTAATTTCTGGAGCCTTGCTGACTATCGAAATCTTTGCACAGCTGCCATGGCAGTAACGGTCTTTTCGACTCTCTGTGTGAATCAGCCTTTTCGACTCTCTGTGTGAATCAGCCTCTTCTGACATGATTTTTATCAAGTCCAGACACAGAACATGCCCCACCGATGCACATGTAGCGATATCATCGCACTTTCTGTTTCAGGGACACAGATTCATGGAAAATATGCAGTGCCATACAAAATACAAACGAGGATCAGGGTCAGCTAGGGTCCCTGAACCAGCTGGGGCTAAGGGCCTTGCTAGATGACCCAACGGTGACAACATTCTGCCAAGTCAAGGAATTTAAACAAGCAGCCACAGAGTCCTAACCCGAAGAGCCACGCAAGCACTAGGGCAATATTCTTACATCATCCTTTTGAGGAGAAAAAAAAAAAACTCCCAGTAATGTAATAAGTATGACATTACCAGTAACATATTTCATTATCAGTCAAAGTGAAACAGTGACCAAGATAAGTGCTAAGAAGATTTTTTTAGTTTTCTGTCTCGATAGGATTCCACTCCATTTTAGAACTCTTCTGCTCACTCATAAGGCACTAAAGCAGCGTTTCTCAAACTTATTTGTGCTGGGGACCAGTCATGTCTGGCTTTGGGGCTGCATTGCACTGCATAAACGACCAGATGGCACAGATTGGTTTCGGGGGGGAACTAGTGCTAGAAAAAAAATAATTTTATGTATGAAATGTCGTAATTTCGAGTAAATGGGCGATGCTTTTTTGCCTCTGGCTCATCCTGTAAGTCGGCATCATTTGATGGACGCCTCCGAAAGAAAGAATCCAGACTCGCTTGCTTTGAACACGCCATGATTTATTGACAGCTCTCGTAACGCGTGTGTGTCTGTGAAAAGTTTAGAGCGAATGAGACAAAGGGTGGGAACGCTGAACATTCTAGAATGCTGAAACAAGGGGCAGGCCGTGAAGTCGGGGGGGCGGGGAGGGACACGCAGTGACAGCAGCGCTGAGATCAGACGTGATCTGACTAAATTTTGATTGGTGCAGAAGTGAGGCTCCGCGGACCGGTTAGGAACCCTCTCACGGACCGGCACCGGTCCGCGGCCCATAGTTTGAGAAACGCTGCACTAAAGGATTAGGCACCTGCTTGATTAACTGAACTGATTAAACCTAAAAGTACATGCAGAACACAGAATGCGGGCCTTGAAATGCATCAAATAAGTAAGAAGTCTGTTCATAGTAAGACCTTGCATTGCCAGCATATGTGAGGAATATCCCCTTGGTCTGGGTATTTAAATTGAGATTGAAGACCTCCTAGCTTATCATTGAAAACGGCTTGTTGTCACGCCCAGAGGGGCGGGGCAAGGCAGCTGCAACCCATCAACGACTAATCGCTCCACTACTTAAAGCGGAACTTACGATTAGTCCATTGCGAAGTATTGTTGCCATGTACAGTATATGAGCCATACTAAGCATTCTTTTGTCTTGTGCCTGCCCTGCCTATCTGACCTGCCTCCCTCGCCCCGCTCTCCGGACCTGTCCTCATCGTTCCTGCCGTCTCGTCCCTGCTCGTAGGACTGACTTCATCCGAACCCTGGAATCTGACCGGACCATTCTCTTTGACGCTGCCCTTGGCTTTTGGTGTACCCGATTTCCCTATTAAACTCCCATTCTACTGCATTCCGGGGTTCGCCTCTTTCTTGTCAGCTTCGCATAACACTTGTAGTAAAAACTTGCACAGATTCAGCAGCTCTCTGGTTAAAAAAAGACAAAAACAAAACAATAACATAAAATAAGTATGTATTTTTAATTTACAGACCAATTTTCATGTAATTTCACATCCGTTACCAGTTAAAATTTGTTCATAAATGTCACGATCAGTTCCTGCCTGGCTAGCAGGTGTAACTGGTCACCCCTTTCCTAGTCTTTGAGTCCATGATAATGACCCTCTCCTGTGTCTTGTTGTTCCCAGCCCTAGTATTTGTCTGGTTGAGTATAGCCCGCACCTGTCCCTTGCTGAAGACCTTGTTAAGTGCAGTTAAGCTCTTGCCCTTACTCCCCAGTTGAATATTGTGTGTTTGTAGCTGTTGTTGCCACCCCATGTTCACTGTTGCTCTTCTGTTGTGGTTGTTCCTGTGTTGCTGCTTACCTTGGTTTTTGCCATTTACCTGCTTACCACTTTCGATGTCTGGTGATTCCTTTTGTTTCTCTTTTTTAAGTAAAAAGTCCCTTGTTCATTGTAGCTATCATACAGATAGTCTCTTTCTTCGTCATGCCTGTCTTTAACACTTAAAAATACAAAGCATATTTTATACATAGCAAGTTTTGTCCACGTTCTGGCACCCGCCTGTTACCCCTCTGCTCTCACACGCTCTTCAGGTTCTGGCACCTTCTGATCTGCCAGTTAAACACTGCCTTTTATGTTTATGCTTAGTATAATATTTTTATTACTAAAATGTATTATAAATGATAATGGTTTCTAAATAACATAATTAAATAAATGAAATGTTTGTGTATTTCAAGCATACTACTAACATTGCCCTTCAGTTTTACTAAGCATTTAAAGTTCTTGAGAACATTTGCTTTAATTATCCTTTAATTGTGTAGTAAAAGGTGAAAGTGAGCCTGTAGCCTAACTCAGGAGGCAGGTGACAGATACCCTGATGTTACCCAGTGGGATGTTTTTGAACTATGGGAGGGGTGAATACAGTATTTCATTTTAGGGAGTTGCCTTAGAGGAAGGATTTGGTACTGGGAATGTTGTTCATACATACATAAGTATATCACAAACTGAAATAGAATGGTTCTCTTTCATTTTCATTAAAATTTCTTGCAGACAAAACAACAAACTCCTCTTACAGCAAAAGCTGAAGAAGAGGCACCTGAGAGATAAATACCTCCGGACCGTGTTCCTTGGAAGTGTTTCCATTCCGGCATGTCTGATTTCCCCAGGAGTCCTTAATAGGTCATTTTAATTTATATGTATGCTCAACCCCTTGGCCCCATCCACTCGTTTCATTCCAAATATTCATTCCCCAGCATCTCCGCCCACACAACCAATCCACACACACACACACACGCTACGCTTTTACTACGTAAGATTTAAAACAAAGTGTTCAAACCAATGAGAACTTCCCAACTTTCCTGCAGAGTTAAGAAGGCTGGGGGAAAATCCGTCCGCGTAAAAGTAACGTAGTATTCCCGTCCGGTTTGTTAAATACCGCACGCATACATAATGAAGAGTATTTAAAGAGTCGTTCATATAATATATATTGGGATATGAATGCTAGTAATATGCGTCGCTGTTACCGAAGGAATACGAAAAGAGCTGCTTGGATTTCTATAGCGTACTGAAGGAGAAAATTACAACAACAACTGTGCACAACCAGAAGTGCTGGAATGGAATGAGCGTCACTTAAGGCTTGTGGAAATCTTTTTTTTCATAATGTTTTAATAAACTATGAAGAACAAATGGATCCATGAATCTTTACAGCAGACAGCGCTGCCACTATAATAATTTTATTACACCGGACAGAATTATAAGAAGATTTATAAATCAGGATTATTACAAACAGCAATTTGTCGTAATTGGAGGACTAAAGGAATCAATTGGGTTTCTACAGTTTATTTTTAACACATGAATAAACAGAAATATATACTGTGACCAAGTTTTCTGCCACATGTTTGCAGTCATCAAAATGTCAAGGTCTGCCAACTTATTGTCCTCTTTAAGCAGAATGATTTTTCATTTTAGTTGCATATTTGTGCTATTTCCCTATTTTTCAGTTGCTTCTCCTTCTCGTGGTCGTCGACTGATATGCTGGCAAGCAATAATGAAATGTCAAGGGGAACCGGAGTGCGACCATGCGTACCAACAATACGCTCTTGCATGCGCCCCCGTAATAAATGGAGAGAGAACGAAGTGTCCTAGACATTGCATCGCCTCCTTCATACAGCTCAACCTAACTAAGAACGGGCCATTACTCGAGGATTGTGATTGTGCTACGGATATTATTTGCAAAAATGCTAAACGTGCTATCGAGCCTTGCTTGCCTCGGACAAGTAAAATGGGCTGCACGGAAGCCCGGCGCCGGTGCGAAAGAGACGCTGAATGCAGCGCTGCAATGCGCGAATACTTAATCCATTGTAGTAAACTGTTTGACGGGGTAAGGTGCACAGACGCTTGTATGAATGTGATTGCAAACATGCGCAAAATACCCAAAGCAGAACAATTAGATACTTGCATTTGTGATGGAACGGAGAGGATAATCTGCGAATACGTAAAAATTAACATGAACACGCTTTGCTTTGGCTCTCACCGAACTTATGATGGTAGCGGACTGCCAGATTCAGAGGAAGATCATGATGGGATAGACGAAGATGCCGATTATCAACTTGTAGGTAATGCAGCGTGTCCTGAAAACGTTCATTGTATCTTGAATTTGGTAGCACCTGTTCTGATTTTGTATCACGTATCTTAAACTTTCAATTATATTTACTGCACCGATTGCCAGCACGCAACGGCAACTGAACATTTCTCACTCCAAAGAATTTAAAGTCACCTCTATTCTGAAAAAAATATGTATTTTCTATGCAATTTATTATTTTTATATAAACGACGTGGAAGCAAAGTAGCCTAACTGTCATAACAAATACTTTTTTTTTTCAAAACTACTGCCTTGCCTCAGCTTTATTGTTGAAAACTGGATCGTCCAACATGTATAGTTTTTATAATATTGAAACTTGTTTTAAAATTTGTGAACAAATTCTAAACAAAAAGCTATTCACTGCCAACTATAGAATATAATAAAAAAAATGTAAACATAATTGCATGTTTTATCAGCATGCAGGCAATCAATCTGTAATATTCAATTAATGGTGAAATGAAGTAGACGTGTCAGAATACATTCAGAATTACTATATGCATAAATACACACGTGCACGTGTAGCCAGACCATAAAATGAGAATTCCAGTTTTAAATGGATTGTTTAATTGTACGTAGGAAAACGCTGCATGATTTGTTGCATGCAGTTCAGGGGGTGTTTAATTTTTGTGCATTATGATAAAATGCGTTGTATACGTATACAAGTACGCTTTGCATAGTTACGTTCATTACATATTTTTAAACGCTTATGTTTCTCTCAATAAACACACCTAGTCACGAACGCACATTATATGTATATTTGTTGAATTGAACGTTAAAATTGTACGCTTTCTGAACGGGAAAGTACTGCGTTATTTTTAAAACGAACCAGTAGGCCTACTTTTAATGTTTTACCTAAAACCTTTTACAGCACTGCAATTATATATAAATCCTTGATTGTTTTAGTATTATACGTGTAATAAAGAACAATCCATAAATTTTAAAGTGATGTCAATTGAATGTTGTGTTTATGAATTGTGTTTTTGTGTGTTTTACGTGCGTTGTTCATAATCATGATTATCAATAGCCATCTTAATGGCATCATAACACAATCTTTCAACGTGCAAATTCCTTGGAAGTAATACTTGCACGATTTTTTTTCAACAGTTAGCTATTACAGTACTGTGGTGTTACTAGAAAGTTTTCTTCACATTTCGAGAGTATACTTGATTAACAAACAGTTTATAGACTTCGTTTATAGTTGGTTATAATTGTATTGTTTAAAATTTAAAAAGTTGTTTATGTCAGCAAAGAAGAAATCCTTACATGTAAAAATTATGTGCATGTATATTGACATGGTATTTCTAGTAATTGTAATCTTGAGTGATTTATATTATGATTAAATTCAGTGAATTTAAGCAAAACACATCAGTTTGGCAAAGCAGCAGTAAGAGCAAAACAAGTTTGGAAATGTGGTCATACAGATCGACCATGAAGACATCTAAAGACAGAACAATAACATCGACAAGACAGCAGTGGTGTAGCCCAGTGTTTCTCAAACCGACCCTCGGAGAGACCCCCAAACAGTCCACATTTTTACCAGGAGCTGGGAGGGACTAAAAATGATGGCTGTCTGGCAGGGGAGCTGGGGGGAGCAAAAATGCTGGACGTCTGGCAGGGGAGCTGGGTATTGGAAACATATCCAAATAAACTAAAGAAAGCATAGTCTGGTTTGCAAAGTTTTCCCTCAAGGATGAATCTGCATATGACTGTTAGTATTAGAAAACATTATATCATTGCAATCAATTTTAAACACAGCAGTTACGGATAGTCTTTAAGTTTCATATACCTCAGCAGTACAGCTTCATACTTAGCATGGCATTTAGATTAGTGATTTAGAACCTCTATGCAGTGGCAACAATCAAAGCCAGCTTGCCAATGAAAACATGGACATAGACAGTCTTTACTTTAAAGACATCACTTTATCTGAAACCATTCAAACCATTATTAGCCACTTTACTAGAAATAATTCTAATACTGGGTAGGACCCCCCTTTTCTCTCAGAACACCCTCGATCTCCCATTCTACCGCTTCCCAAAAGTGCTCTATTAGATTCCGACCTGGTGACTGGGGAGGCCATTGAAGGCATTAGAGTATACTGAGATCACCGTCATGTTCATGGAGTCAATTTGAAATGACTTGTGCTTTGTGACATGGGGGGATGGACATGGTCAGCAACAATACTGAGAGGCTGTGGCATTGGTTCCACTTTACAATAAGGCTACCCTTATAGTATATAGGGATTATGAATGGTTTATAAGCAGGTTATTAATTAGGTTGTAACACTTTGTAAATCATTACTAGACAATTATAAACAAGTTATACCACAGTTTTCTTCTTATTAATGAGTTACTTCCATTTAAAAGTGGCAAAGGGGAGCCTTACTATAAAGTGGTACCGTGGCATTGAACTGATGCTTGGTTGATATTACACCACTAACACCAGCTTGAAATGGTGAACTGATACAAGGCAGGTTGATTCCATGGATCTATGCTGTTTACACCAAATTCTGACCCTAACATCTGCATGCTGAAGAAGAAATCAAGACCAGACCAGGCAATATTTTACCAATCTTCTGACAGGAGTAGAACCTGATATGGTTCTGTTGTTGTACCCTAGGTTTGAGTTACTGTAGCCTTCCTGTTGGCTTGAACCTGGTTTGCCATCCTCCCCTGACCTCTGTCACCAAAAATATTTTTCAAACCACAGTCCTGGATAGTTTTAGCTTTTCACACCATTCTGTGTTGGAAAATGTCAGATCAGCAGTTTCTGAAATACTCAAATTACCCCATCTGGTTCCATCAACCAAATCATGTTTTTCCCCCAATCTGATGTTTGATTTTATCATTAGCTGAAGCTTTTGACCCTTTAACAGGTTTTCTTAATATTCAATTACATTATTTTTTATATAGCGCCTTTCACAACAGAGTGAGCCAAAGGCGCTTTACATAGGTGTGTTGTGATAAGTGCAACATCACGAAGAGAGAACAATAGAAACACAGAGAAATGGAAAGAAACAAATAAAAGGAATCTGGATGACGATGGAGGAGAGGAACCAAAAAGTTGGGAGAAAAAAACCTCTGGGGGCCAAGGCCAACTGGCTGCCCACCCCCCCGGGCACCAACATTATAGGGAAAAGGAAAGAGTGGGCTTGCTTGCTAACATCAAGGTGTCGACTGTAATCAAGTCAAACCAATGTCCATCAACAAGTCGATTCTCCATGCCAGCCTGTGCAGGCACCAGTCAGACGTGGGAAGAAAGGCAGAGAGCATGGGTAGACCTGAACATAGGCTGGCAAACCATTCCACAATATAGGGGCCCTGTAGCAGCATGCTTTACCGCTAACCATCACTTTATTTATATGTGGAACAACAAGGAAACCTGCGTTCTGTGATCTGTGAAGTAATTTGGTTACGCAGGCAGGCGCTAAACCATTAAGTGATTTGTAAGCAGGAGAACTTTGAAGTCAGTCCGGAACCTAACATGAAAGCCAGTGCGGGGAACAAATAGCAGGGGTTATGTGTTCGAATTTCCTGCTCCTGGTGACAATTCGAGCTGCTGCATTTTGAATACGCTGCAAGGTGTTTAATATGCGGTGTGTGCTCCCAGATAACAGTAGTGTAACCTACTGTATACAAAGGCATGTATCAATTTCTCAGTGTCTTGAATAGCGAGGAATCGTCAGAGTTTGGCAATATTACGTAGCTGCAGAAAGCATACCTTCGATATTGCATCCACATGCAATTTGAATGAGATGCTTGTATTTACGATGATGCCGAGGTTACAGGCTGAGCTGCTGAGGGAAAAGTTCAGCTCCTTGGAGAGGAATACAGAGATTATAGCATTCCAATCTACAGACTTTCCTCTGAACAACAAAACCTCAGTTTTTTGAGTATTTAATGATAAGAAGTTTTCTGTCATCCATGTCTTTACATCATTAAAGCGATTAGCTAAAGTGACAACAGATGCGGTGTCATTAGGCGTAACTGAAATGTATATTTGGGTGTCATCGGCATAAGAATGATAATTATCATTATGTTTTCCCATTATGTTACCTAATGGCAGCATGTAGGGAGAAAACAATAAAGGACCAAAAACTGATCCCTGTGGTACCCCATATTTGACTGGTGACATAGATGACGGAATATAGTTATTCGGCACTTGAATATATTGATATTGATTTGTCAAATACGATTTAAATCACTTTAATTCCATTCCACACAACCCAACATCAAATTTAAGTCTTTGTAACAGAGTAAAATGGTCATCCATGTCATAGGCTGCACTAAGGTTGAGAAGCATCAGCACATTCGCACTGTCGGCATCAGTTGCCAGTGTTATGTTATTTATGACTTTAGTTAAGGCAGTTTCTGTGCTGTGTCCCAGGCGGAAGCCCAACTGGAATCTAACCAGTATGTTGTCTGCCTCCAAGTATGCCTGAAGTTGAGCAGCGACTCGACTTCAAACTATTGTCTTTAAAAGTCATTTAAAAGTAATTCTATTATGATTAATAAGGGTAGCGTAATATGCTGAACATGCCCCATAAAGGGCTTGCTTGAATTGTTGCAGGCTGTCAGACCATGTCACGTCCTGTATTTAGTCCGCGTTCAAGTCTGTTTCCCCAGGTCTGTCATTGACGTTTTGTCCTTAGTTGTGGTAAAACCCGTCTTTTGGATTTCCACATGTCTGATTCGTCCTTCGTCTAGTGTATGACTGTGCATATGTGTTGGTTCCGTTACATGCTGATAACATCCAACAGAGTCCAGGAAGGGCAGGAAACTTCTGCTGAAACATGTTTGTATTATGATACTAAGTTACATAACTGGTATTAACATTTCATAATTCATATTTTATAATGTTTGTCTTCTACGTATAATTTTTAAACTGTATTTCGTAATAATGCTGTAATTTTCATTAGACAGCCATTATTATGAAATACTATTTCACATAATGCAATTTGTGTCACTTGAAAAAATCAAATTATATTTCACAGTAAAGTTCAACTTTTCACATTGTAGACATGCATTTTTATATCGTGTCAGTACAGTACAAATGTACGTCTTAAAAAGGTCTTTCAGTACTAAGATATACCTAGAGCAGTCTATATAAACAATTACACTGTTATTATATGTTTATAGTAACATATCCAATGTGTAGGCTATTGAACGCACATTCTTACCTACACGTTTTAATTTCACGTTCATTTCATTTTTCTGGCATGGTTCACCAATATTAATAAAGCAGCTTTGACATAAAGCATCATGAAAGTTTGCTTTAAATGTGTTCTGTCCAAAACATCTTTAATAAATCACTTCTTACACAATTCATTTTTCCCGACTTTGCTCGGAATCTTAAGGATGCGCACTTTTGACAATGTTTCCATGTGAATGGGTTGCGACAGTCCGATATTAAACCAACTTCCCACAGATTAAAACTTACTTTTTGGTGTTGCATTGTTATTCACAATGCAGTTTACTACACAGTGGTCCATGTTGCACCAATCTCAATGTGTCCTCAATCCGTTTTGGATGCTTTTACACCTGTAATTAGAGCTGTCCACTTGTGACTGGAACACCCATGTTAATACCAGGTGTAACCAGGGCCTTAGAAGTTCCCCAGCTTCAGTCAGAAGTCAGTCATAAAGTTGCTGGTGTGTACATAGTCAAACTTACAAGCTAATTAGCCATTTGTCAAGTGGGCTTAACAGAAGGGTGTCCTCATTATACTTGGGGTTATAAAAGTGTTATGTTGCCACATAAGCTTGAGCAGCTGTGTCAGATAAACAAATGGACATATTTGTCAGTTTAAGGAATGAATATTATGTAAATGCAGGGGTGTCGTTAGAGCCCCATGAAAAAGTATCATATTGGGCCTCCAACCCAGACCAATTATATTGTGTTCCAATTTTTTTTGGGCCCCTGTCAATTAGGGGCCCATGGAATTGTCCTACCTGTCCCCCC